GAAATTATAGTGACGTGCATGCCGTACGGCCTCGATACATGATCATTTATATCGTCTTTTCAAATCTTCACTCATCTACCTAACATCTTCTTCAAGGAATCTTGTGCTCAAGCCTTTTGCGCATCGTGACCCCAGTTCTTCAAACTCTTATAGCTCTTACTATCGGTGTCTTTCTTCGCCTTCTCTTCTTGCGCAAGATGCCTCTTGCAATATGCTACTACCTTGCGCATGTGATCGATGTCTTCCTGGTCGTATTTACTAGCTTCTTTCTTTGGATTATTCTGCAAGATGGCAACGATTTTACGGCCTGAATCATGACCGATTGTTTCGCCGGAGCCGTTATCCTTGGACCTGTAGGCGCCTTAGAGACTGTGTATGCCATGCAATTCGCAATGTCAGCATTGCATTAGAAGGAGAGTTTACCAGCCGGCTCCCTCGGACTCTTCGCTGCCGAGCCAGTCTTGTAGCTCGTCTGCTGACATGTTGACAAGCTCGTTGAATTCCCTTGGGGCGCCGTAAGCACTTAGCCTCGCCTCAGTTCACACAAGCTACTCACTCAATTACGGTTTCATTGTCCTTGACCATCTTGCTATGTATTTAGGAATCGTGATAGGTAGTTCGAAATGAGTATTGTCCAGGGTCTTTTTTGCAGAATATGCTGTCGACGTTTCCCAGTTCGATATGCTCAATCCGCTCTTCAGCGTCGCGATGTCATGACATCACGACCATGCCCTAGCGCTACTGATGGCGCCCAGCCCTGGGTCACCAAGAAACGGTCGCACGTGACCTAGCGGAGCGCGTCGCGTATCGCAGTTGGCATGAATGTCTCTCACGCAGCCAGACATTGGCGCAGGGATATTGGCGCAGTAAAGGATACGAAGACTGCATCAAGCTGTATCGTCTCGCCGCGTTCTCGATGCAGTCTATACTCCCTTCCGCACCAGAAGCTGGCGACCTCTCGGGTGCGCTAAACTGTATGGAGCGGAAAACTGCGAGAGTCAGGTCTGAAGCAATTTTGATGTTGGACTGTGTCAGCTATAAATCCAGCCGGAGGTCGCTGTCGTGCGAGAAGTTGCTGCAATGTTGGTTTCGTTGTTCCATCTCCAGCTTTCGTCTCCAGCTTTCGTCCCCGGTGCTTACTACTTAGTGAGAAGTCTTCTCCAGTCTCCGCAGCCTCCGCAACCCCTTCTTCTCCTCACCACACGCAAGCTCCCCTCAAAGTTTTCACACCCACTCCGCGATGTAGGAACTACCGAGATTACGGCCTCACTTTCTCGTCCGCTGCGGGTCGGACATGCCAAGTCAATGGAATGTTCTTAGTGGCTTCCTTGAGCCTCATGTGGGCCTCCTGCACCAATCCGAACCAATCTGTCGCCGCAACCGGCTTACGTTGCATCCAAAACGGGTCCCTCGCTATACCTGACCGGAGGAAGACTGCAAGCGATCGGAGATTGCGAATCAAAACAAGCGCTGCGACAAAGCTTATGCCGGTTCACGCGGCATTTGTTTAAAGAGTCGGAGGGATGGTCGGAGAGAGACTGGTGTTGAGGGTTGCACAGACCTGGATGGGGTCGTACACATCTCCATCATCCCCACTGCCGAGAGAATCTGTCGCATCTTGAAGTGAAGTATCTTCACCGACATGGGCCCGGCCGAGGAATACGCGTCGTTGAATCGACATCCACAAGTCACGCGACTATCAGTAGGTTCCTGGAGATCGGCTGTGCGGCACAACGGTCCCTGAGGCTCGTCGTTGTATGCCATGCATCTGAATGCGGGGTGGGTGTCAGAGGCGTTCAAATCGCATTAGCAGAACGTCCTGTACAACGCCTACCGTCAGATGAGCATGCAAGAACACGATCCGATCCATGTGAACTCGAGGCTGTGTATCTCTTCGGGGGGACTTCCCGGAACGTCGGGCGGATTTGGCTTGGCCGTCGAATCGCGACCAGCTTCCCCACATACACGCCCCTTGTCCCCCAGCGGCTGCGTCGCATTGACAAGCCCACTACTGCAGTTTCAGACCCCCCGGATGACTTCTGTTTGGCTGTGGAGGAGGACAAGCCAAGCCTGTAAGGCCGCTCGCGCGCAATTTCGCGTGACGGCGTGGCGCGTATGACGTAGAGGCCCCGGAGTCGAAAGCTCGGCGCGATGCTGGGCATTACCGCATAACGGGACACGGGATTGGAATTGGCATTGATACTTAAGAATGGATGTGTACCGGACGAGTAACCCCATCTTGCCTTGAATATCAATCTTCCCGTGGCCAAGTCATCTTACAATCATGGGTTTGGGCAAAGTGTAGGTTTTGATCCGGTTGAAGTACGCATACAATTGTGCTAACTTTTACAGTGCTGTCAAGATACGCGGCGCCGAGTGCGGCATTGAAGCCATCATACTTGGAGTGATTACTTCGATAGGTGGTTTCCTGTTTGGTTATGACACGGTATGTACCATATATGTTCTGTTTCCAATCGTCCAACGGCTTATTCAAGATAGGGTCAAATTTCTGGAATGCTCATCTTTGAGGATTTCATTCAGCGATTCGGACAGGACCAGGGCAATGGCGAGAAGGCTTTCAACCCCACGATTCAATCCTTGCTCGTTTCCCTCATGTCCATCGGTACCCTCATCGGCGCACTTGCTGGTGCCTACACTGCTGATTGGTTCGGTCGTCGACGCAATTTGACCCTTGGTGTGGCCATATTCGTTATTGGCAACATCATCCAGGTCACCGCGATGACTACTTGGGTACACATGACAGTTGGTCGCATTGTCGCAGGTCTTGGTGTCGGTATCCTGTCTATTGGCGTACCAATGTACCAATCTGAAGTATGCCCTCGAGAGATTCGTGGTGCCGTCGTCGCATCGTACCAGCTCATGATCACTGTCGGAATTCTCATCTCCAACATCATCAACTACGGAGTCCGCGACAACCCAGGCGAGGATAGCGACGCTGCCTGGAGGATCGTTATCGGCTTGGGAATCGGCTTTTCCATTCCTCTTGGTGTCGGTGTACTTTTCACACCGGAGTCTCCAAGGTGGTTGGCGGGTAAAGGACGATGGGAAGAGGCACGCATGTCAATGGCCCGTCTCCGAGGCCTTGTGCATGACCCCAACCACGAGCTGGTCAACTCGGACTTCAAGGAGATGGAGGATTCCATCAACGAACAACAGAGCGCTGGACAAGGTACCTGGATGGAATGCTTTACTGGCCAGCCATCCGGCATTCCGCTTCTTGCTTACCGAACCCTTCTCGGATGTGCTCTGCAATTTTTCCAGCAGTGGACCGGTGTCAACTACTTTTTCTACTACGGAGCGACCATCTTCCAATCGGCAGGTATTGACGACCCTCTCCAGGTTCAACTCATTCTTGGCGCCGTCAATGTAGTCATGACCATTCCTGGATTATGGCTCATTGAGCGAGTTGGTCGTCGTGTGCCTCTCGTCGTTGGTGGTCTGTGGCAAGCTGTCTGGCTGCTGATTTTTGCTATCATCGGTGTCGTGCTACCGCCACAGGACAACCCGGCTGCTGGTATTGTTATGATTGTCGCTGCTTGCATGTTCATCGCAAGTTTTGCTTCTACCTGGGGGCCTTTCATTTGGGTTATCATTGGAGAGACGTTCCCACTCCGCACTCGCGCGAAGCAGGCCTCTTTGGCTACTGCTTTCAACTGGCTCGGTAAGCTATACATCTTCAACACATCAAATCTATTCACTAACGCTCCATGTTAGGCAATTTCTTGATCGGTTTCCTTACACCGTACGCTGACGATGGTATCGGCTATGCCTTCGGTTTCGTCTTCTTCGCATGCAACTTCGTTGCGGCGGGTATCGTTTACTTCTTCGTATTCGAGACCAAATCATTGTCTTTGGAGAATGTCGATATCATGTACTCGGACCCAAGCATATCGGCTAGGACCAGTAAGAAGTGGATCCCAGCTGGATACATCAGCCGTAACGAACGTGACGACACTTATTGGGAGCGTCGTCACAGTGCTGTTGGTGCTACTGGTGCTGCTGCATCGGAGAAGGTCGGCGACAAAGATGTTGATACTTCGCCTGAGAGGGGCATGTCAACGCACCACGAGAGGGTTTAAATATACTCCCATGGTCAAATACAGGATATCTTTACCTAGGCAGTCCGGGTTAGAGATGTTCTCGCACTGCCGCTGTCTTCTAGCGGCTCCTCCATTTTAGCACTGCGCTACATACCGCCAAGAGGCGTACATAATTCAGACTTTATTCAATTTCAACACATTAACAATTCGCTGCCTCTGTGATGTGAGAAGCTCTTTTGCATTCCGGAAAGGTGCCGGCACAGCCACCCCTGCTAATTTTAGCGTGGCGCATGTCACAAACACAAGCGGCAACGCGTCAGCTCCACGTCTTCTCTCCAGCCACTCTCCGCTTTCAAACAACAAGATACAGTGTCCTCGCTCGTTTTACACTTCTGCCGCTCATTATCTAGGATTCTTTTCTGCCCAGCTACGAACACTGGAATACCGGAAGATACGAATACGGAGCTATGCCGCCAGCAGTACCACTTCACAACAACAGCAACCTCGCCAAATTAGCGCGTCGGGCCCTGGTCACAGCGGGGCCGGCTGTCGCTTCGCAGGCCTCGCATCACTTTGAGCGCCGCGGATTGAGTGTAAATCATACTCAAGGAGTTACGCTGGGTGTTATTGCTGCATATGTTGTTGTTATTGCGTTGTTGTGGAATTTACCGTATGTGCGATGGGTGTTGTGGCCGTTCAAGGTATGTGCACCGTAGTAGCCCTAGGAGAAGATGGTCTGGAATTGAGATCATCAGTGTGGTTGATGACCGGGTTCCTTGAGCTTGCAAAATCAGCATAACAGGAGACATGGATGGCTGATTGAATCCACAGATGCTAGTCATTGCCTTCCACGAATTCTCCCATGCAATAACGTCTTGTTGTACTGGTGGGCGAGTAGAATCAATCTCTCTTGATCCTCATGAGGGAGGTGTGACACACATGCGCGGCGGCAAGCAATTCATTACTCTCCCTGCTGGCTACTTGGGGTCTTCATTGATCGGCGCTTTACTTACATTCTGCGGTTTCAACATCGTGGCCTCCAAAGTAGCGAGTATCGTGCTAGGCGTATGTTTCCTACTGACATTGTGGTGGGCGAGAAAAGACTGGTTGACGATTGTGACCATTCTGCTCAGTGTAGGGTTGCTTGTGGCGTTCTGGTTCATCGAACATGGCGAAGCGTTAAGGTTCATGGTCGTGAGTACCCCTTCTCGTTCCTTCGAAAACCGTCGAACTAAAATCTTTCCAGCTCTTTATCGGCGTCATGTCTTCTCTATACAGCGTGTGGGACATCTGTGACGACCTCATCCTCCGCAAGGTTAATTCTTCCGATGCCAGCGTCTTCGCCAAGCGGTATGGCGGTTCATCGCAATGCTGGGGCGTCATCTGGTCACTTGTCTCGTTGATTTTTATGGTTTGCGGAATCCTCGCGGGGTTGGCAGCCTTCAAACAGAGTTTCGAACAACAAGAGAAGGACAGTCAAGACTTCATTCCTACCGTGCGCATGATGATGCGGGTATGAGACTTCATCTGAGGATATGATATGGTATGGACGGCTCAAAATATGTATCTGGACGGCACCGGGAGATCTGCAAAATTTGGTTGGCGATGATATACCCTTATATGCGCGTAGTGTTGAGCTTTGTATTGCTCAGATCGTTCCACGACAGCGAAATGACATAGTATTCACCTCTCAGTGGAGAAAAGAACAGGTCCCTATGCGGATCTAGTTGAGTTAAAGAGTCATTGCCGTAGGCATGATGACCACCACTGTTAGACCGAACCACAAGGAAAGCGGGATGCAACTCTAATCGTCACCACATGTTGAATATCCAAATCACCAGCCACTTTGATCAGCAAGGCGTACATCCGCTCGACATCCAACGCAGGTCCTTCCGGGCGTACTTCCCGTCAACTTACTCTCTCTCAAAGAATCCGCCAAACGCGTCCTTCAAAGCCTCTTTCACACTCTCCAACACAACCTTGTCCTCGTCACACTGTCTCTCAACTTGCAGTAAAAGCATGTCGTAGACCACGCGACCCGTCTCATGGCCCTTCCCAAGCGATTGCAACCTGCTTGTCAACACCCTCCATTCCAACACCTCGTCGTCCTTCGCTTCTTCCAGTTGCTTCTTCGCAAGCTCGTAATCTTCGTCTCGCTTCAATATCGCCTCGCGATAGGTATCAGCGTCCTTGCGAGACTCCTCTAGCTCTTCGTTGGCAATGTCAAGGGCACCTTTGTGGGCATGGAGCTCGGAGGTTTGGTCGCGATACGTGGCTTGAAGAGAAGCGTGGGAGGCGAGAGCGGCGTGGTAACGGTCGGTCAATCTGCAGCATTGAACACAGAGCAACTTGATCTGGCTGCTGCTGTAGGCTGATTTGGCTTTCTCGGCTGCCAGCTCTTGTTTCGTTCTTTGAAGTTCGGCCTTTTGAAGGAGAAATTCACGCTGGAGGATAGAGTGTGCATGAAGTTGGCGTTTCTAGCGGAGGTTAATGACCACTCCAAACTTGGGTATACAAATCGCTGTCCATTTATTGTATGTACTCACAGAAGCAATTTCAGTGGTGTGCTTTGTCTTTTTGGATGAGGGTTCTGGGGACGATTCCTCTGCGGGCCGCTTGCTCGTTCTTGGATCTGTGGTCGGTACCATCAGGCCACGGGACTTCAGCAGCGCGACTCGTCGTTCGAGCTCGGTCATGTTGACTCGATCGCGGCTTAGACTCATTGGACAGTGCTGCTAGTAGTTCGTAGAGCAAGGTTGAAGTTGGTGCGAAACAGACTAAGGCACAGAGATGCAAGATATACGTGCGCCAGTTCTTCATCTCTAGGTGAATAACAGTTGATCGTGGGTCACATATCGAGTGAGTAGCTTTGAAAGTGGAAGTGAAATGTGATAGCGGCTTGCTAGGAGATGACTAAAGCCAGGGTGAAGCATTAATACTTGCGTTCTAGCCAAGATGAAGGCGAAGGTGAAAAGTGCCCAATCGAGAGCGGCCTTGAGTTTCACAGCCCAGAAAAGCTGCCTGATAGAGATGTAGACGCTCTCTTGACTATGAGGCATCTAATGCAGTCCCACTCCCTTCACTCCCTCAAAAAGCGCGTCCTCCCTGACTAATACATTTCGACTCAGGTCCTTCTTTTGCACACTCCGGATACCGCTTAAATGCAAGGTCAGCTCCAGCTCACCTACCAAACTCTTGAGTACATGCTCCACGCCCTTTTCTCCTCCGAGTGCCAGACCATACACGTATGGTCTACCAACTAGCACACAGTCAGCACCCAACGCCATTGCTTTCGCGATGTCAGCACCAGATTGAATCCCACTGTCAAAAAAGATTGTCAACTTGTCCCCAACAGCATCAACGATATGTGGCAATACGCCCAAGGAGGAATTTCCACCATCAAGCTGCCTCCCACCATGATTGCTCACAACAACGCCCTGCACACCAACCTCGACCGCTTTTCTCGCATCGGCCAAGCTCTGAATGCCCTTGAGCACGATCGGCCCATCCCAGTGCCTCTTTAAAAACTCTACATCCTCCCAACTATGGCTCTCCCCGGGGAAGATTGTCCTCATCCATTCTGGCGCCGCAGTCTCCATTTTACTCTCCACATCCACGCCATGCCTCTCCTCGAACTGTTTCCGGAACACAGGATCTGTCATACCGAGCTCCACGCCCGTACGATCTGCGCGCATAAAGGGGTTGTATCCATTATCCATATCTTCGGGCCGCCAGCCAAGGATATATGTATCTAGCGTTACGAACAGAGCTGTGAAACCGGATTTCTTTGCACGCTGGAGTAGAGATATAGTAATGTCGTCGTGTTCGCGTGAGGGCCAGTAGAGTTGGTACCAGCGTTGGCCGTCGGAGCCGTTGGCTGCGGCGGTATCTTCTATACTCGTGCTACTCGCTGTACTTAGGATGTATGGAATAGCTTCTTTGGCTGCGGCTTTTGCGGCGGCGACTTCGCCTTGGGGGTTGAAGATCTTTAGTACGCCGACTGGCGCCATGGCTATGGGCGCTACCATTTTCTCGCCAAAGATTTCGGTCGTTAGGTCGGGGAAGCCCGTGTACTTTACTAGGCGGTTCGGCACAATGGACCATTTCCTGAAGGCATTGCGGTTTTTGTTTGTTGTTTCTCGTACTCCAGCCGATCCGTAGACGTAGCCTTTGGAGTCGGCTGACATGCGGCTACAAGCCAATTCTTCCCATCTATCGGCCTGAAATGTGAGCGGTGGGCGTTCAAAGTCTAGCCCGCGTGTGTATGTTTGCATCTCATAGTCAACGGCATCTTGTTCTGGTTTGTGGTTTTGGAATTTGGGATGGTGTTGGGTTGCTGTGGGCTCGGACATGGTGATGTGGTAGGATTCGGGTTGCCCTTGGGATTGAAGTGATGGAACCCGTCAGGTGAGAATGAGCGATGGGAGTACAGACAGAGCTATTCGAGTGGTGACAGACGCTCACTGGAGCATAATGCACGTCACATCATGACAGCTTTACCGGATACTTTCGGAAACAAGGTAGTGCAGGGCCTAATGGCGCATCCCGCACTGGGGCAGTCTTGTGAAGCTTAGGTGTGAGCTATTTGTCGACTATTTAGTGTACCTTAGTGGAGACGCAGGATTGTGTTGTCTGTTGGTGCATGTTGCGTCAATGGGTCTCCAGATGAGGGGGGAGCATGACAGTGCAGTGACGTCACGCGCTGTCATGGCAAAGTATGCCCAAGCAGAGCGACGTGAGGAAGTGTGTTGAAGCAAATGGAGTGGGTGGGGACATATGTCCGCCTGGTGAATCATTTCTATCCGTCTAATAATGTGCCTCTATACCTCCAATCCATGATGATAGCGTGTGCAAAGCATGCAGCCTCTGCTTCGGAAGAAAAGCGGGCGTCCCAAACTCCATCAATGCAAATATCGATCATCGCAGTATAACAAGCAAGGCTAAATGAAACGTCTAAACAGCGACGCAGCCGCCGTCAATCTTCAAATGTCCACCAGTCATGAACTTGCTGTCTTCGCTGACGAGGAATGCAACGACGCTGGCCACGTCATCTGGGGTGCTGAAGCGGTCGAGTGCAGTCTCCTCCTTGAGCTCTGCCAGCCTCTCCTTGTTCCAGCCGTCCTTGTAGCCCTGTGTTTGGATGATGCTCGTGTGGATGGTGTTGACGCGGATGTTGAGCGGACCAAGCTCTTCAGCGGCGGTAAGGGCGATGCCGCGCAGGGCGAACTTGCTGGCGCTGTACGAGATGAGGTTGGGGAAGCCGCGAAGACCGGCGATGGAGGATCGGATGATGATGGAGCCGCCACCAGAGGTGGTCTGCATGGCTGTAGCAGCGTACTTGACGCCTAGGAATGCTGGGGGGTCAAGAGTCAGCGGGGGGTGACGTTGTCGAAGAGACAGGGGAGTGACATACCAGACTTGGCGTTGATGGTCATGATGCGGTCAAAGTCGTCTTCGGTGACGTCGAAGATGCTCTTGGACTCGCCGCGATGGCAGCAGTTGAGCAGGGCAGCGTCGAGCCTCTCGAAGCGTTGCACCACCTTCTTGGCGCATGCCTCGACGTCGGGCTCCTTGGTCGCGTCGGCGACAATGGTGAGCAGGCGCGACTCGATGGGCGAGCCTGTGGGAATGGCGGCCTTGAGGACGGGCACGGCAGCCTCGAGAGCACCCTGGTCGATGTCGATGAGGGCGACGTTGCAGCCTTCGATAAGCAGGCGGCCGGCAGACTCGACGCCCACCTTGCCGCCTCCGCCCGTGATCATGACGACCTTGCCCTCCAGGCGTTGGATGGGCAGCGGCCGTGTGAGGTTGGTGGATGTGGGCGCGCGCTCCATGCCCGGCCGCGGGGGCTTGTTCAGGTTGAGGGTCGAGATGCTGGCGCCAGGCGTGCGCAGGCTCTCGGTCGTGTTTGCTCGCTGCATGATGGTGGTGGTGGTGGTGGTCAAGTCGGCCGTGGAAGTCGTGATGGTGGGGAGGGAATCTTGTGCCGTCCAGCGGTTGCTTCGTGAGGATGTTGCGAGGGCAGGGCTCGCGGGCACAGGGCCATTTTGCTATTTCTACGTGCCATCATCCCCTCCTCACCGGACCCTTCTTTTCCCTCAAGATGACGTATCGCCGGGATTCCCTAGGCGAAACTTTTTCTGCGTTGATCAAACACCGGATGCGCATCCGTTGAGGCTCTTGCTGGCGGCTGTACCCACTGCCCCGAAAATTTCAGCCAATGTCGCCCCTCGCCGGCATTTGGCCGCACCACCTGCTCCAACTCTGGTGCAATGAGCGGTGGGACGTGTCCACTCCATGTTATCACTTATCGTACCCCGTGTGCACGATTGTGGGTGATGTGGGCAGTACACATGCCGCCGTGTGGTTTTTGACCTGCTTAGGGCGGGGTTGTAATCTAATCGTTTCCACCAGTCGCGCGAATCCAGTCGCGCCCAGTGTGACATCGCCTCAGACCAGCGTCCCCAGGTGTTCGAACAAGGCGGTCAGGCACAGCGCTATTACTGCCAAACGGGCAAGTAGTCCGGCAAGCTATCCATTTGTAACTTCCCAGCCCAGACGAACCGACTTCCCATCTCCAATCGCGTCGTCGTGACCGGGTAACGCGGAAGATCAAGGCAGCAGACAAAGTCTCCTGTGAAGAGCAGGATAAAGGGAACAACGAGTCGGGTGCAAAATCTGGCGCTGGCATAGTGGATCAATAGCCGATGCTACAAAGACACAGAGTCATGAGCCGCATTGAAAAAATGACAGCAAGAGACATCACCGCGGCCGGAATTAAGCATTACCAATTTCAGGCAAGACAGGTCAGCAACGCTTGAGGTTCAGGGTTGACCATCAGCTTTTCATTCAGTCCTCATACAAGGCGTCGCTCTCCTTCACCTCCACCCTGGACAGCACTTTGCATTCACCAGTCCAGGAAGTAGTCGATACCATCCGCGAGCGCTGCCGCGCCTACTGCAGCATGATCACTGAAAGGGTACTCATGTATGCTGATATCCCTCAACGCTGGACTATCCTCCAGCGTGCTGTATAGCTTTTGGCTCAGATCCGTCATCCGCTGCGGTACAAGGATGCTCTGTCTAAAGGCGAACTCCTCATCCGTTTCCGTCCGCCTCTGCACCAGGTTCTGTTCGAGCGCCCCATAGCTTATCTGGAAAGCAGGCTTGGTGGCATTGGAAGTTTTGTTAGTCGAGGGCGAAGTTAGCGGTGCGAGAAAATCCGTGTTGTTGAAGACGTAATCGTTGTTAAAGAAGAGTGCCGGGGAGGCGCTGAGAAATGTATCGAAGAGATCGGGGCGTACGGTGAGAGCGTACAGGACGAAGAGGCCGCCAAAGGAGTGACCGTAGAGCGCATCGCGGTCGAATTCAGCCTTTGGGAAAGCAGTTTCCTGGACCCAGGGGCGGAGAGCAGTGTCGATGAACTCGATGAACTCATTGGCATTGGACTGCACGCCAGGCACTGTTGGCAATGGGCAGCCGTCGCAGACAGGAGGCTGGAAGTCGTAGCTTCGCTGGGTGCTGTAAGGCGAATCTTCAATGGTTTCCGGGTAGCCTATGCTGACGACGATACAGTCGGGCATGTTGAACTCAACTGGACGGCGGCGACGGAAAGCTTCCGTGGCAGTCATGCCGAGTGCATTGCCATCGAGGACATACCTAGTAGTGGTGTTAGTACTTCTTTTCTCATGTTGCTACTGTAGTCCATCATGGGCTCTTACATCGTCTCCACAGTCGAGCTCTCCTCCTGCGATGTCCAGTTCAACGGCCATGCGACTTGAATCTGATATTCCCAAGACCCGTTGGTCGCACTCCAGAACCCTAGGTTAGGCAAAACATTGGTAGGGAATTCGGTGACGAGGGGCGCAAACTGCCAAGCACCAACTGAACTCATGATGATGGTGGTGATGAAGACGGACCGGTTTGTTCAGATGCAGGTACCAGGGGATCAGGCTACCTATCGACTGGAATGCTTTTGGCTTTTGTACCTGATGGCCACCAGATTACTCGTCCCAGAAAATACAGACCCGAGGGGCGGGGAGCAAGCCCGTATCCTGTGCAGATACCACGCCGCAATCCCAAGGGCCCCGCAGTAACTTTGCTCTGGTAGGTTAGCATAGACGCGGCATGGGATTCTAGTCCCGGTACTTAGAGTTGGATATCCCGGCCTTATTGAACAATATATACATTGCCAAGACGGGGGATCATCCTTGATGATTCCGGTCTCTGTTCGCCTCTGATATGTTATAGAGAAACTGGAGTATCTTACAAGACGACGTCAACGGAAGAAATCTCTCTTGTGCTGAAGAGTCCAGGCTGCTTAATCGTGAATTAGTGCGAGGAGACTGCGAGTCAAGCAGCTATCCAAGTGGATGAGGCGGGTCAGAAGGATTCACTATCTATGTTCTGGCTCTTGGAAACCGAGGACTGTACATGTGCTGCACCGACGAGCCTCAATCCTCCTCGACGGAACTATCGAACGCATGCAAGCCTTCATGCAGACTGTGCGCCACTGAAATCTCGATCGTCGTGCCTGATGCGAACGGCATTTTCAGGAACAATTGGTCAAGATCGGTTACAGAAGAATTTGACGCTAGTTCATGCGCCTAATCACATCGTAGTTGTGGAAATGGCATGATTAGGTTCACGATACACACTGCTGTAGTTCGGAAGGATGGCGCCGGATGAGCTGGGATTGCTATAGCCACGTGCTCGTCTCCACCATGTCACACCCGCCCACCTTCGCAATTACCTCGGTAGCCCAATCACAGATGACTGCGATATCATTTCCAGGGAACAGCAGCTGCGATAGGATATCTTCCGTGTCATTTCTTACGGAGAGAAGTCGGTTGGCGCCGCGCTGTGGGCTTACGACAAAAGTTTGTTAGTTGGCGTCAGCGCATCGGGCCGTAACCATAAACGTCAACCCAGCCCGACTGCAACCAGATCCTGGGGACCCAAGTGCCGGAACAACAACCTCTTCGGACGCAAACTCAGTGCTGGGTTCAACGGCGAGTCGTCTGATATTTAATCCGTAGTATTCTGGAACACCAAGATGCAGCCATCCGAATCAAGGTACAGATGCAGACAGTGACAGTCGAGGCGAAGCGATGGTAAACGAGATGAAAATATTCAAGGATGTGTTTCAAGGTACTACGTATTCAGCGATGTGCGCCTAGCTCCGTCTTTCTAGAAGGCGCCTCGCCCGGGCAGCGGGTCGTTCTTCGCGGGACACGACGCGTCATAGATTTTGGGGTTGACAAACTTGGGCGTCGCGTCGTTGTTGTAGGCCAGCTCGACGAGTGTGGCATTGCCTGTGCGTATGTTAGCAAAGAAGTAGTTGTACCCAGAGAACAAATGACTCTTACCTGAGTTGTACAAAGGCCATCCATATTCAGTCAATCCTTTTTGTGAGTCCCGGGCAAAAGCACCCCAGGCACCCTGGATATATTTCGTGTACTGGTTCTCGGCAGGAGAATTGGGTAGACCAGAGATGTCCTGAGCAGTGCCGAAGACCAAGCCAAGATCGGAGCCATGGTATGCAGCACTTCCTTGGGAACCAAGACCTGCGCTGCCGTTGTAGAGGCGAAGGTTATCCCAATCACCGTGGTATCTGTATCGCCAGGTAGGCACATCATACTGAGCCCGGTATGCAGCGGACAGAGAGGTTGGACATGTGAAACCGCGCTGAGTGAACAGATCCCATTGTGCATTGGTAAAGTTCAGCTTGGCCGCCCACCCAGAGATGCGATACCAGCCATCTTCATGGTCGGCGTTACCAACCAAGAGTGGAATCTTGGCAAAACAGCCATCGGAGGAGAGTTGTTGGTAATCTTCAAAGACCGTAATGTTGTCCACAGTCGGGTGGAAAGTTGCTTGAGTCAAAGCCACACTTGGGAGACCAGGAACCTTTGCGGAGGCAGCCAGAAGAGCAGACATGTTTGCAGAGCGCACGCAAGACACAACTGCTGCAGCGTCATCTGCAGCGCCGCCACAGCCGATGGTCTGGGACACATTGTACCAGATGGACTGCGAGTACTCGACAGTGTTGGGGACGAAGCTCAGGGAGGTTCCAGACATGGGGATGAGGCCAGAAACGATCGGGTCATTCTTCCAGGCGTAGGCCCAGTAGTCGACGGCAGCACCGCCTGCGCTTTGTCCGAAGATGACAATACGCGATGGGTCGCCTCCGAAACCAGCGATGTTATCGCGCACCCATTCGACAGCGGTACGGTGATCGCGCAGCGCGGCGTTCTTCTCCACACCAGGGGCGCCAGCGAAGCCAAAGATACCTAATCGGTAGCTGGGATTGTCAGTAAACGCATGGATAAAGATGGAGTGAGCCCTACTTGAATGTCACAACGACCACATCCTCAGCGTCAGCTAGGTATTGGCCGTTGTAGAAGGGAGAGTGAGGACCAGGAATCTGGAAACCTGGAATGGTCGTTAGGGATACTCTGGCGAATCAAAGGAACAACGTACGTCCTCCGTGAAGAAACACTAGCACTGGCTTCTTCGCGTCCGCATCACCAGCACTTGCCGTCCAGACATTGAGCTTCAGACAATCCTCAGATACAGAGTTGTTGTTCTGGGCTGCAAAGTTCTTCCACACACGCAGACCGGATGGCTGTGTGAAGTTGGGGAAGGCGGACACTGGCGGCTTGACAGCAGGGCAGTCACTAAAGAGTCGTTAGAAGTATCCTCTATGTCTTGTGTTCCTTACGTACGGAGACTATGATTTGTTAGCGATTGTACTCCATGTTGGCGATATTGCGATTACTAACCCACTCAGATGCCTCGAAGACAGTTCCTGCTGGTGCATCGTACTTCTTCGGCGCAGCAAATCTCAACTCGCCGACTGGCGCCTCTGCATATCGGATACCCAGAAACTCGGTCACATGTGTCTTGTTAGACGATGGGTGACCAATCAAGGTACCACTCGATGTCTCAACATTGGAGCCATTCTTCGGCGCTGCAACAGCCGAACCGAATAGCGAGGCTACAGCTGCAGCAGTAAGGAGGAGGTGCTGCATAATTTCAACTCGAAACAACAACAACCTTGCGCTTTAGGGAATAAATTCCAATGCCAGGCGGGCGACCAGCTGACTTTAATGGAGCGAAATTCAAATCGCGGCTCGGCCTGGCAAGCAATTGGCTCCGCGTTCCTGCGTTGCCGCGACGCCAACCGTGTTCCATAGGGGCAAAATACACTACAACCAGATAAAGCTCCGAGGCAATTGGAGATATTGCAAACAGCTCCATATTGAGTGCGCGCGGCGTTACACCGGCACGAAAAGCTTCGACGACGTTTAAGACAGGACGGGTGGCTTCATCTCGCACGGCTGCATCCTTTGACATCTCAAGTTACGCTAGTCCTGATGCGCTGCCGCTCCTTCCCGGTCGCGTGGAACCTTTCGATCTGGCAAACGCCAACATCACCACAACATGTAGCATTCGAATACCTGGGACTGTGACGTCTTCTAATCCGCCACGGCTTTTGCGTGTTCTTACCGAACTTGAACACAGTGGACATGGACAACAAACGCGGTCTGCTTACATCCGGCAGATGTCCGGCTACCGCTGATCTCCATTTGTGATGTCACCCACCCATACCTGTTCAGTACATTACACCGAGGCGATTGGAAGTTTGCCCTGCGTTCACGGTAAACGCCTGGACTCTAGCAAGGAAGAGCTTGCATGCGCACAGAGACCAAGAGATCGGCAGACGTAGTCCCCGAAGATTGGTATACCAGATCCAATCGTATCGGAATGAAACGACGAGAAATTCGCCGTCACTGCATTCCCGTAATGCCCCCACGAAGGAGTTGCCAGCCGCTCCACAGCCCTCACCCTGCGCTACCGTGTCTCCAGGGACGGGTACCTGGAAAGCCAGATGCTAGACGAGGCCCATAATACTATCCGTTCCCGCTGTTCATGGATGTTCCATAGGATTTACCTTCCAGAACTCGAGCACCCTCAAGCGACATGACTTTCAACGTCGGCCTTGGAACTGAAGGCTCAGTTGAGCGCGGATGGGGACTTTGGCTCACCAGTGTCCTATCTGTTATTATCGCCGGTCTTTTCGTCAGCGCACGTCTAGCGCAGCGATTCATCAAGAGTAGCGGCCTGGGAATGGACGACTACATGATCGTCGCCGCCTTACTTTCATCAGTTTTACTCTCTGTAACAGAGTGTCAAGGTCGGTAGGTCGGCACAAGTTTGGGAAATGGGTATTAACTTTGATCAGCTGTGGTATATGGCTACGGGAGACATTGGAAAGATCTACCTGCCGACTCCCGCGTCATTGCTCGCAAATGGTTCTATGGAGCGAATAGTGAGTTGACATCCATCAAATGCACACATCATCCCAAAAGCATGCGGATCGCTAGGTTTTTCCGGTTTCTGAGGTGCTGCGGGGAGGCACTTATTGGAAATGGTGTGAATTTTGACTATGGATTTCACTGACTGTAGCAGTTGTTTACAAAGTCGTTCTCATGTTCAACAAGATCTCTGTGGTTTGCCTGTACTACCGAATCTTCGCCATCACCACAAAGTCTTTCCGTATTGCCTGTCATATCATGAGTAAGTGGCTCGTTTTGGACTACAGATCATCGACTGACTCTACTGAAGACGCTTGGGTCATCATAACCGGTTTTGCTTTTACTATCGCAACGGTTTTCCAATGTACGCCAATCGCCGCATTCTGGGACAAAACCATATCTGGAGCCAGATGTTTCAAGAATGAACCCTGGTGGATTTCATATGCCACTGTTCAAATTACAACCGACTTCATGCTCCTTGCAATGCCTTTTCGAAGAATCCTAGGACTCTCCATGGGACGAGCCGAGAAGTTGGGTGTGGCACTTGTTTTCGGTACGGGTGGCTTGTAAGTATCTGAGCCTCCATTTAAAGCACCTTGCTGACTTCTCAGTGTCACTTTTGCGTCTATCTATCGTGCAACTACAATCGCCAGGTCCGCAAACGATCCCGATCCGACCTGGGGCCCTGTTCCTGCTACAATATGGTCAGTGATAGAAGCCAACGCTGGTATCATATGTGCCTGTCTCCCCATGCTCCGCGCTCCATTCGTCCGCCTCTTTGGACCACTTTTTGGTTCGGTAGCCACCAAGGCCACCTCGAAGCGGCGGTCGTACCCCATGGACTGGAAGAGCAACCACGGGCCAGCTGGCACTGGAAATAAGAGTAAGGTATCTGGTAAAAGTGCATCTGAGCGCGAAAGCGAAGATGATGCATTACCACCAAGTAGACCGAGTGAGCTCGGCCGCCGGGGCAGTGGCATCTTTGTCACGAACGAGTTCAGTATTGAGCGCAACGAGTTACAAAAGCAAGAGACAGAGACACGGTCGTGCGAACAAGATGGCGACACTAACACTGCGCTGAGTGTGAACGAGGACAGGCCAGGTGGCAAGAGTCCCTTCTACCACGTCTAAGCAAAAGGACCATATTGCTTCTTCTCGTCCCAGTGCTGTAACATTTCAGCACTAGCTCTGCATGATAAAATATGCAGATTGCCGTCTAGCAGTCAAGCTACACCTCTCGCCGACATGCGTATCACGATCTTCAGCATTTCCATCGGAAGGCGCCTCTCTAGTGTTCTTTCGGTCCTATACCGCATAGCCGCTAGCGAACGAGACGGCCGAATTTGCAGAGGCCAAACCGCCAGCCGCTTGTGTTCTGTCTACATATCGACATTACTTTCACATACAGCATTGTTCTAGTCGAACAAAACGCAGGTGCTGCGTTGAACTCATCATCTTCCATGCCGATGCTGCGCCGTTGCGAAAAACGCTTTGAACTAGGCGACGCTACGCACGCATACGCAGGTACGGATGGACGCTGAGCGACGTAATCATGGATACTACCGTCCGGGCCGCTTAGTTTGCGTGTCATGCCTTATGGACGATGCATTGCGCTTTAGAACCTATGATGGTCTATCGTCTGTGTCAAACTGCCGCAAGGGGCGTGAGCTTGAAGTTCAACTAGAGCAGAGTGCGCCAGGTCACAAGGTATCGCGCACGATACGTGCGAGCAGCGAACGGTTCCAGTAATGCGACGGTCTCTTGTTCAGGACCTTTCAACGAAGGCCGCGAGCCCTGTATTCCGGGTGCAGTACGACGCGACGCATACTGGGGCCCATATCATTCCTAAATCATCGAATAATCTTTATCGCGTCTTTTCTGTTGTGAGAAAATCTAGATAAGTACCCGAGGTGACTACACAATCTAGATCGCGAGCTACGCAGCGAAAGACGGTGAAAATTTTGGCAGCCAAATTTGCGGTCGCACGTTCATTCCCAACAAAGTGACAGGCCGAGCAGTGAGGCATTTGTCTGGCCTGGCGTTGGACACGTGTGGCGTCGAAAACAGATGGAATCTGCAGGAAAAGGCGTGGCATACATTGTTGCATTGCTTGGTTGCGGATACTGGCCTATTTTCACGAATGAAGACGATGCTAGGAAAGCCAAGTGAGGATAAACGGCTTGCCGATCCTTGCCCCGCTTCCTTGTTGCACGCGGCTGCGCCACAGCTGGATATTGGTCTCTCCCCCCAGACGTCATGCGCACATGCAATGAATATCGACTTGACCTGATCCGTGATGCATCCTGATTTTCCTTCAGCTTGCGCACAAGCTTCTGCAGCGCGACACCCTCATCCGCTCTACCATCGGTACCTTGTTAGCTGGACATCGAAACCTACCCCGCCAACATGACGACGAAAAGTACGACCGACTTCGTCGAATCAACAGACCCAGCCGGAGGGAAGTCCAAGGCCCAGGTCCTCACCGACGTCTTCTCTCTCGCGACCCAATTCAGCACCTGTGTTGAGGCTTTCAACCTCATCCATCCCTCAAAAGATCAGGACCATGCGCAAAAGGTTGTGCTTGCGAAACTTGGCCTACAACAGGGCAGGTTGCTGATCTTTGGCGATGCCGTGGGTATAACTGCGCCACCCGCGACAATTGCACGACACATGATACCCAGCCATCCTGGTATCACAAATCCAGATCCACATGTGCCTGTACACTTTGGCGTCAGAGATTCGAGGCTTGACGAGGAGGTCATCAATGCGAAAGTCCGCAGGGCGCTCCATGAGATTGCGGGACGCCCAAGTAGCATGTCGCGAGACGAACTGATGAATGTTTACGGCTTGAAGAGTCCAAAGACTTTCTCGCGCCTCGAATATCCAGCACTAGACACGAACCGATTAGAAGGCTTCCGCGAGAAGTACACCCTGCTGAAAGATCTCCTAAATCAGACAGGTGCGCGAGCCAGTCTAAAGCGCAACCTCAGCATGACGACCTCCCATTGGACGGTCAAGGACACCACACGCTTCAGCGAGTACGTCAAAGTTGTACGCACCGAAGTCGATGCTCTCATCGATCTCATGGGCGTGAAAGAGCAGGTTGACCGTGGAATTCGTTCCGATCTCAAGAGCATGGGGTGGCACCCAGACCTGACAGGTCCAGCAGTGCGACAGGATTGGGAGAAACTGCGTTTGATTCGCGAAGCCTGTGTAGTCGACTATCCAGAGTACATTGAAGTCATCGACAAAGCCATGCAGTACATCAGCGAAGAAGTCAAAGAATCAAATCTTGCTCGAAATCGCGCTGTGTTAGGCCTCTCAGAACCTAACATGGACGCAGCAGGTGCGCGCCGGAAGTCAGACTACGACATCCGCTCAGCGCCTGCGCCTGCGCCTGCGCCCGTGCCTACACCCACCGCCGGATCCAAACCTTCCAAACCGGAAGCAAAATCTCATATCCAACTTGCCGCTGAACGCGCCCTAAATCCAAATGCAGGCAAAGAAAAGCGCCCAGGCTGGCTCTCGGCCTTCAAATTCAAGTCCTGGTCCAAGAGCAGCAAAACTGCACATGAGAAGCAGCGCTCAAACAGTGTTCCACACACACCAACTGTAGACCCCCAACGCTCCCTCTCCGCAGGCGAAGCACCAAACCAAACCTCAGAAGATTCCAACACTCTCCAGGCCGTGCGGTCCAAGTCGCTCAGCGCAATACCCAGCGATAGCACACCACAGACCCCACCATCAAATCTCGACTCTCGCGTCCGCAAGCTCAGCCTTGACCACGGAGACATGGTGAATATTCCTCCCATCCAAGAAAACGGTGGTGAGGTAACTAGTTTCCCTGAAAGAAATGGACTGCCCAATTTCGATGCCGATATGGATAAGAACGCACTAGTGCAGGTTGATACAGCGAAGAGCGAGGGAAGCAAAGATGGGTTGGAGAATATCAAGACGGCAAATAGTTATATCGATCGGCATGATATGTATCCTGCTGTGGGACGAATTGAGACAAAGGACATCAGGAACTTTGCGCATGCGCCGGGATTATAAGGCTGTTTAGTGGGGGTGTTTAGATTGTCTAGTGACTTCAAAGGATAGTTGTGAGTTCGAATAGCATAGGTACGCTCACAGGAGAGGGTATTAATATAGTTGTGTTGTAGTTTTGTAGCCATTTCGAGGTCAATCTGTATATACTCATTGCGTTTGCAAAGCATGGAGCCTGAGGTATTTGGTTAGTTTTGTGGTTACCACAGTTTCACGATGGGTTGCTTGATATATCAAAGCTCACTGAGTATCTTCAGAATGTCCAACGAATCCTAAGGTCATGAGCCATTTTGTTATACCTGTTCTACCAAATATGTCCCCTCCATACCCGCATGTGCGATTCGGGACTTGATGTGCACAGAGTTTATTTCGCTGTATTTGGCTGATCATCCTTAAGGACGACGTGATCCCATTGGAAATCCGGAAGCATTCTCAAAGATGCTACAATTTAGTAAAGACTCTAATCTCTACGCACTTCTATTTATGCTTTTCGCCATTGCTCAGTTTTCTCATACTCACGGTGAAGGTGACTTCGTGCCTAAATCCTCACCTTCACCTCGAGGTTGGGCCCACCTTGCGATGTCCTCTGGCCCACGTCGTCTTTACCGTCCTCTCACACCACCGTCAACTCATTTACCAAAACTTAAGGTAACGACTTTCGAGCTTTGTTCTAACGCGATCGCTCTAACTCAGTTTAGATAATTGGGTTTCGGTACGCACCCGCGCAGTTGCAGTTGTTTGCCTCCTACGCCCAGTCGGGTCGCGACAGCAACAACAACAGCACCAAGCCACACCATCGAACGAAGTTTTCCCAGCCAGAGCTACGCTTTAGATACCACTGGTGATTACGACTATGCCGCCCAAGGGACTCTACCGAATCCCAAAACATCATGTCGTTGGCCAAGGCACCTCAATGAAGCGTCAATCTTTCAACAGCATGGACTTCAAAGAGGCGGAGAAGCCGGCGCGCGTTACGACGAACGACAGCACGACAGACGATTTTGTCAACAATGAAAGGGCTCAGCGAAAGCGCGAGAAGCGTGAGAGGAAAGAAGCTAGGAAACTGAAGAAGGAAGCCAAGGCAGCTATGGCTGCTGCGGAAACAGGAAAGCTGAAAGAGAAGCAGAACACCCCGCCAGTCGACCCGACACCCACCGCCACGCCCGTCAAGAATGGCAGGGACGGTCCACGTGGTCCTTATAAGAAGAGAGAGAAAGGCCCGGACGGAACTCCAGTTTCTGCTGCGAAGAAGCGGAAGAGAGAGACCGAGGTACCTGTTGACAGTCCAGCTGTCACTGGCAAAGGTCTCGCTGACGCCGACAATTGGCTCGGCCCCAACTTCAAGAAGAACATGGAAGACAATAAGAAGTCCCTTGCTCGCCTCGCCTCTATCTTCGACCAGCAGATCAATGAGAACGCTAAACCTACTGAGTCGCCCAGAAATAAGCCAGGAAGACCAGTGGGTTCGGGCAAGAAGGCCATTGCTAAGACTATTGAGACTGAGATACCCAAGGCCAGCGATACTACGAAGAAGGCCATCAAGTCTGACGAGATCAAGCGCAAGGCCAAGAGGCAGAAGCTGGAGAAAACACCTGTGGCTTCCAACGAGGAAAATGTGTCCAAGGTCAGCAAGACACCAATACCAGTTCCGTCGGTCGCATCAGCCCTGCCTACCGAGCCGAAGAGCACACCAGTTCCACTTCCTCAGAAGTCTCTTGGTGCGTTGACGCGCAGTGTGAGCGAGTCACCGACAAAGAAGAACAAGGTAGACCTTCGAGAGTCTGAAGTCCTTGTCAGCGAGACCCCTCTCTCACAAATGAGCCGTACACCTGCAACCACTCCTCGCGTACAAGCAATCCCGTTTAGTCTCAGACCCGCAGTTACCACGTCCAAGGAAACCAGCAAAGCTCCTGGCACCCTTGAGTCTTCTCCCGAAATTCCCCTCATGATTGACACCAAATCCCCAGAGGCCCGAAAGCGCATTGTTGGCAGCCAAGGTTCCGTGAACCCGCTCACCAATAGTCAGGTCGACAGTCTTACCACTGCGAACCTCATGCGGTTCAAAGAACCTCTCAGAGACACTCCGAAGCCGCGTCCTCGAGGCCGTCGTTCCGTTAGCGAGGCACCTAGCACTTCTTCTAGCAGCTCCTCCACCACATCAAGGACCATTCGCGACATGTTAATGCGTCCAAATAAACCATACACACGTCCCAGCAACGAGATCTCTCCCTTCAACAACAAGAAGAAGCACATTGAAAAGCATGACGAAGCCAATCTTGCCACTTTCTCTAGCACATTCACGGCTTCCCGCCGAACCGTCAATTTTACCGATGAGGCAGCATACCTTGACGAGTATGACGAGTGGCTCTCCGACAGCGAAGCAGCAGGTACCCTCCCTTGCTTGAAACAAGCCTCAGGGTGCTCGGCCAAATCTGAGCAACTGCTCCAGCTCCAACGTTCCGACGACACCTCAGCATTCAAAGTGATCATCACAAATGAAACCGAAACCGAGAATACGGCGTCTGACATTGCGCGCGTCAAAGCCGCGTCCACCTTCCTGCGCTACAGCATCTTGACACGCATCCCCATACCGCTGGGCTCCATCGAAGGAACGTTCAAGCTCTACTGCCCCAAGTACACCGCTACCCATGTCGACAAGTACGGGTTCGGTCAACGCACTTTGAACATCACCTCCATCGCCGGTCTAAACCCCATGTCGGGAGCCTATACAGCGCGTCTCTCTATTCCACCTCGTTCCATGCCGTACCCGATCCAAGCGTTCGAAGCCCCACCCCACGCTTCGTTCCGCACCATCACGCTCAAGACAGTTGCTGAGCGGTATAGAATGGACGTCATGTTCTTGGGTAATGGTTACTTGAAGCTGAGAGTTGATTTGCACCTGATTCTCAATGGCAAGTCGGCTGGAGAGATGAAGGCGGCAAAGGGAAAGGGCAAGGAGGGGAAGACAAAGGCCGGAGTGGGCGTCTGGGAGTTTCTGGGAGTGAATGAGAAGGCGGTTGTCTGGGAACCGACGGTTGATGAGTTGGAAAAGGAGGGAAGGAAGTTGATTGCCAAGTATGAAGGTCGTTGATGTGGAAGTATGGAGTCGTGAAGTGGTTGGTGTGAGTTCATGGTTGGTCGGTGTAGGAAATGAGAAAGGTTATCTGGAATGTGGGCTACCGGTGGGCAGAGGTAGAGTCAGCGAGATGTTTGCATTGATGGGACCTCCTCGGGTATGGCTTGGGCTTGCCTGGCGGAATCTATTCAAGTTTGACTAGAGCTTCGCAGATGTTGCCTAGGTTAGTCACGTTACCGTCACATCCATATGGATACCGAGTGTCGCCTCGGTGCCCTCATATACTAGTCTTCCTTGTTAGTTTACGACTGGATACAGTAGATAGGCGAGATGATTTGCCACGGACATTGGAGAGCCGCATCCGTGTTCCGATAACGGTCTGAATATCGCCAGTTTACCCCAGCTCTTGCACCTACAACACTCTCGAAATACATTCAGTACCCACATATACTCATTCGGCTGTGGCGTGACTGTTGCTCTATTCATGTTGTTTACATCTACATCTACCACTTGTCTTTGAACAAAGCAAAAACTCCTAATCTCATGCAAAAGGTATCAAAACACTCCTCTCCTCGCTGCTTCTTTGACTCCTTGCTGTCCCACCTCTTGCTTCTATATGCAAAGTGATCATGATATGCGTTCTTTGACTAGATCGGATCGGAGATGTGGACGTCCGTCAGCGCGTTTCAGCGAGCGAGAGGGAAAAGAAGAGGAAGAGAACATCTAGTCCTTCTTCGCCCTGCCGTTCTGTTGTTCAGCGAGCTCCAACTTCTCATTACCCTTTTGGATGAAGAATTTGCGTTCGAGGAACTTGAGGCCCTCGTCGATGATGCTGAAAACATGTTAGCGATTGCTCATTCTGTAGCCTTTGGCACAAGGCGTGAAATGTGACTTACATGATTGGCGCGCTGATCGCCATGACCGCTTTCCACTCGTTGCCGTCCAGCGGGATGACGCTGAACAGCCCTTGCAGGAATGGGACGTAGAGAAGTGCAAAGTGCAGAGCCATGCTCAAACAAATGGCATAAACAAGGATCATGTTCTCCCAAAGCGGTAATGTAAGCAGACTCTCTGAGCTGCTCAACGCGTTCATGGCATTGAGCATCTCGATGACGACCAAAATGCTCAGACTAACAGTAGAGGCAGCTTGGGCAGACGAGTTGCTGAACATCTCACAACCAATCTCAGGGAACTGGGTCGAGCAGCGGTGGAAGTGGCGGAGCTGGTAGAAGGAGATCTGGGGCCCATCGCTATTGAACATGAACCACCACGCGTAGCCACCGACAGTCGCAGCGCCGACGTAGGTACCAATAACCATGTAGCGGAAGAACAACCAGCCACTGATGAGAGGCTCGTCGCGCTTGCGGGGTTGGCGCTTCATTACATCATGGTCTGGAGGGTTGAAAGAGAGAGCGGTAGCGGGGAGACCATCGGTGACGAGATTGACCCAGAGGAGTTGAACAGGGATCAGAGCCTCAGGCATACCCATAGCGGCAGTCAGGAAGATAGAGACGACTTCTCCGATGTTGGAAGAGATGAGGTAGCGGATGAACTGTTGAGTGTTGTTGTAGATGGAACGACCTTCTTCAACGGCACCTTCGATGGTGGCAAAGTTGTCGTCTACAAGCACCATGTCCGCGGCGAGCTTGGCTACATCGGTTCCGGAGCCCATAGCAACACCAATATCAGCTTTCTTGAGAGCAGGCGCGTCGTTGACACCGTCACCAGTCATAGCAACAACCTCACCGGCTTGTTGGAGAAGGTCGACGAGTTTGGATTTGTGTGTTGGCTCAGTGCGGGAGAAGAGGCTGGCGTGCTTGGCGGCTTCCATCTTCTCGGACTCGGAAAGGTCATCGAATTGGCGACCTGTGAAAGACTTGCCAGTGAGATCTTCATTGGGGCCAAAGACACCGATTTGACGGCAGATGGACTCGGCAGTGTTCTGATTGTCTCCAGTGATGACTACAACACGGATACCAGCGGAGCGGCACTTGGCGATTGAGTCGCGGACTTCAGGGCGGGGAGGGTCCAACATGCCGACGAGACCGATGAGCGTCATCTTCTGCTCCAGCTGGGTGTATTCCTTGGTAGTCTTAGCCTTTGCCAGAAGTGGGTTCGATTCAATGTCTTCAACAGACGCTACAGCAATGACACGAAGACCGCGGTTGCCGTACTCGACAATTTCCTTGTTGATAAGGGTAGAAAGTTGCTTGCTCATGGGCATCTTCTTTCCGTTCTTGCCGACAATGACATTGGTGCAACGATCAAGAATCGATTCCGGGGCGCCCTTGACGAGTAGTTTCTGCGAGTTACCATTCTTGACTAGAACGGACATGCTTTTACGGTCGCGAGAGAACTCATAGGTGGCTAGGCGGGGGTAGTGGCTTTCGTAGTGCTTGGTAGAGAAATCGAGAAGTCCTTCGGGCGAGGTGCTGGCGCGGGTCGCGTTATGGGCAATGTCTGGAGTGCCAACCTTCTCAACTAAGACGCGGAGAGCACCCTCGGTAGGCTCACCGACAAGGTTGTAAGTACCGTTCTTGGAGTCGTAGGCAAGGGCTGCGTCGTTGCAAAGCGCGGTAACTTCACAAATCTGGCGAACGGTGTCGGATTGAGCAGCAAGGTTCTCAAGGGGTTTGCCACGGAGGGAGACCTGACCCTCAGGGGCGAAGCTGGTGCCTTCAATATCAAATTCTTCGAGGCCACTACCTTGTTCGTTGAGGAAGACCATCTTGTTGACGCTCATCTGGTTGGTGGTAAGAGTACCTGTCTTGTCGGAGCAAATGACGCTGCAGCTACCAAGTGTCTCGACAGAAGGCAGGCTTCGCACAACGGCGTTTCTTGCAGCCATCTTGCGCGTTCCCAGAGCCAAGCAAGTTGTGATGACGACGGCCAGACCTTCGGGAATAGCAGCGACACCGAGAGAAACGGCGATCTTGAGATAGTAGATGGCGCCTTTGGTGAAGCTGCCGTGCGAAGGATCGTTGAAGTTGCCAATGTTGATGAGCCAGACGAGGATGCAGATAGCCGTGATGACCTTTGCGAGCTGGTCGCCGAAGTCGTTGAGCTTCTCCTTGAGGGGGGTGGGCTGTGAGATCTGTGCCGTGATGCTCTCGTGGATGTCTCCAATCGCCGTGTTACCACCGGTCAGGACTACCAGCGCAGTCGCATGCCCCGTAACAACCGTAGTACCCGAGAAGAGCATATTGACCTGATCCTGCTTGACAGCGTTCTCATCCTTGACGGCCCTGGTATCCTTGGATACACTCTCGCTCTCTCCAGTCAAGATGGACTGGTCGATGTTGAAGCTGTTGCTAGAAATGGACAGGATCCTGCAATCAGCGGGTATCCTGTCACCGATTGTGACCGAGATGACATCTCCGGGGACCAGCTCGTCGGCCTTTACGCGTTTGACATGTCCGTCACGTACGACTTTCGCTTCGTTGGCTGAGTATTCCTGGAGGGCTGCAATGGCCTTTTCGGCGCTAGTTTCTTGCGATACTCCGACGACGGCGTTTAGAATAAGGATGGTGAGGATCTGTAGGCATGCAAGTCAGCGCAAGTACATGTAAGGTCGTCGCCTGATACGTACAACTGCCGGGTCCACGAATGCGGTCCAGCCTTCTTCCTCTTCGAAGAGGGCCAGTACAAACGACACTGCTGCCGAGCCTAGCAAGATGATGACAAGCTGATCTTTGAACTGCTCGAGGATGAGCTCCCAGATGGGTGTTGGTGGGTCTTCTGGCAGCGCTGTTCTCTGTGTCAGCAGTCGTCGTCGCGGTCTAGGGGAATAGTAACACACCATTCTTTCCATGCTTCTCCCTCGCGCTTTGCACCTGCTGTGCGCTGAGACCTTTCTGCTCCTCGACCTGGAAATACTTCAGCGCCTCAGCGGGCGTCTTGGTGTACGCATTCTCCATGCCCACTGCTCTGATCACCGGCTTATTTTCGCTCAATACACCACTTGTTCAACGAGACGCTGTCTGGTGGCTCAATCGTTGTGCGGTAGTGTTGTTCGCAGGGATATGTCGGTTCTAGAAATGTCGAGGCTCGCAAGTCGCAGGTATCTTCGCCTATGACGTTGAGAGGAACTTTGACAACCTTCGCGTGATTACTTCAAGCACAAAGGGAGGGACTGTATTTTCCTGGCGCAAGTAAAGTCGCAGGAGAAGACGATAGAAGATTCTGCGATTGTCCACGGCAGAAACGGCTGTACTGGCGGCGCAACAGCACTTGTCTCGACTTCGGCGCGTCCCAAGAAATCTGTCCTCTAATCGACCCGCAAGCGCAAGGGGCTAGTGCTGTGGCGCATGCTCACCAGCCACTTTTCGCCGATAACCACGTTTCGCCCAAGTCGCTTCCAATTCGTCCATATCTTCGAGTTTCCCTTTGATCGGTGTCATTTCACTTGCAGTCAATTGTGGCTGGTGAAAATCTGGGGTTTGCGCCGTTCGCAGCGAGTCTGAAATGCATGGGGTGCGGGCAGATTCCGACAACGTGCTGTGCTCGGCCTGTTCGGCGGCCATGCCCCACGATTCAAGGCCCCCACCTTCGACATCACCACTGCACCTCACCTGGGCAAGACTGCCGTGCCTGCGGGTCTAGCTCGGCAATCCGGGTCTGAACAGAGCCTCACCAAGCAACGCGTCGTCATCACTGCAGAGTCACTTGTGGGTCGAGGAATGATTGAGTAAAATGTTTAACGTTTCGTTGTATTCGAGTAGCCTGCATATGCTACTGTAACCCATAACCAAGGTCATCCCAACATGCAAAATTCATCAAAGGGTATTATAGCCCACCATAGGTATCCCGCTCGTTGAACGCCGCAAAACAAAGGCCCTCCAAAGGGCTGGTCAAATGCTATCGTGATCGTCGTGTACCCAGTCCGATCCAATCATGCCCGCTTTCTAACATGATCACCTATATGGTGTACAACTATAATGTGTATAACGTGAATAGAACCAGGCAGCTAGAGCGCCGTGGGAGAAGTAAAAGTGGCAAGCTTATTGGCTTGCGCA